TGTGGTATATTAAAGATTTTCGCTCGATGATCCTCCGATACTGTCAACAAGATGTTTTCATGTGGATTATAACACATTTCATAGATTTCCGCCATATGCCCCTCGAGGGTAAATTTGCGTGCGCCAGAACGCGCATCAAAAGCAATCACATTGCCATCCATTGTAGCTGCCATGAGCGTATGATCACTGAGCCACTTCAGCCTAGAAGACAATAACATTAAAATTGTGTCAAAATGTATGCTCTTGATTTCCATACCGGGTTATGCCACCCTGAAATTTATTGGAATTGTCACCTTCTACAAAGGTGTGATCGCATAATGTCCGCAAATTATACTTTGTATAATCCCAAATTGCTATTTGTCCTTGCAATGTACCACTGGCAACTATTTTAAGGTCATTGGAAGGCGGAAATGCTAAATATTCTACTGAACCATCAGCCTCTACAGCACCCACCGGACCACTATTTGTGCAGAAAACAATTTTACCTGTGCAATTTGAAAATAGGTATTATATGTATGTACATATGTATATAAATTTATATCATATTTTTATACATCATTAGGGGTATTCTCTGAGTCTTGCAAAGCCCCTGCACGGTGCACGGATTGCACAGCTTGCAAAGCTGTCCCATACGAACATCGGTTTTTACCGTGCAATCCGTGCAATCTGTGCACCATGCAAGGGCTTTGCAAGACTCAGAGTATACCCCTATTATATTTCTACGAACCATCTGCTNATTATATTTCTACGAACCATCTGCTGCTCCGGCGGCGTAAAACGGTGAGTCCTTTTCACACGCCACCGACAATATAACCGTTTGCTGCGCCATTGGATTTTGTGCATCTACTTCCATGACCACTGTGCAACTCTTTAGATCCCACAGCTTGACTGCACCATTTGTATAGCCAACAAAGAGCCTCTTTCCATCACCGGTCAAATCGGCTACACCGCAACGCACACCTTCTCCAGGTAGTATTTTACAATCGCCTGAGGGTATACGCCAGACATACACTTCACCATTTTCACTGCCCGCCATTAGGACATTAGCAGCACGATGCCAACACATCCAAGTCATATCGCCCATCGAGAATTCCCACACTTTGCGCAGCGTTAACTGTGGACCAGACTCACTCTCTTGCAACTTGTGTACAAATAATTCGCCCGCCATGTCGCCGGTGGCTAGATAAGTGCCATCGTAGCTGAAATGGACATCGGTGACGGTGTCTTTATGTTCCGTAATTTCAAGCATCACTTCGCAAGTGTTTATATTCCAAACATAAGCGCGATCATCTTC